AAAAGTATTTTATTTTATTATTATTTTCAGTTAGTTTTTAAAATGTAAGTTTTTCATTTAATATGAATCATTTATTTCAATTACTGAAAATTATTTTTAATTGTTTTAGTTAACAATAACAACACTGATTATTTATATTGCTTTTTATTATGAGAGGGAATGGAAACAGATGATTGAACTCAAACATAGGTAAATAACTGTACAAATATGGGATTAAGTATCAGTGTTCCTAGAAGTCAAAGAATCCATTGAAATTTTAAAATGATGTTAATTACTCTCCATTTTTTTTTCATATATAATGCAAATGTAAACTTTTATGCATCCTTTCATTCGAAAGATTCCTTTACTTTTTTTTGCTCTTTTTTTGTTTGTTTTAGAGGTTTACGCCTGTGAAAGAAAACACAAAAACTGAACAAATACATAAATATTCAGCCATGCATAATGAAGAGCTTTAATAATGTAATAATGTTTCAATGTTTTTCACCTTGAACGCTTTATGTACAGCAAGTGCTTTATCTGTAAAAGTGCTGCAATGGCAAATATATGACACGCTGTACACATTAAAAATCATGTGGAAACACAATTCAAACAATAGCTATTAAAAAGAAGCTGCTTAACACTGCCAGTAGCATAGACATTCATTGCAACGACTTTCAAATTAAGTGACATTCTGATAACACAATTATTTTGCAGGCAAAAAGTAAATCATCATGCAAACCCTGTGACCTCGTGGTAATGGACTAACTTAAAAGAGAAACATGCATTTGTGTTGTGACACAACTGTAAAAAAGTTCAATAAATGCAGAAGAGATCAAATAAAAGCCTGGAATACTCACACTAATCTTTAGAACTATACATGAATTATTCTAATGAGTGTCACTCACAATGGTAACACAATAGAGGCACGACTTGTGCAAAAGAAAACAAGACTGTTCTACTAACTGTTCTAAACGTCACTTATTGCTTTGGTGCTAGAACAGAACAATGGAACATTCCACATTTGTTTACATCAACACTAATACATTTGTGAAACAATCATGTGCTCTGCATGATAACATTCACAAAACACACATTATCCTACCATATTTGGCAAGTAAATATTCAATTTTAAGCTCTGCTTCTTGGCAACAAATAGTCGGCTATGTAAGTATTTGATAGAAGAATTCAGAATATGACATGATGAAGGTTATGAACTTATGATTATCTGTTAATGCGGCAAGCAGAAACCATTTCCGTTTAATGGATTTTTCCGGGTTCAGTGCAAGTTAGTTAATTAACAGCATGTTGATTAGCACAAAAAATAATGTTGACTCTTCCATTTGTTTTCTATTTAAAAGAAAATGAGGCTAACAATATTATAAAACCACTTAAAGTTAAAGTTGTCAAGCTATTTAAATCATTGTATTAACCGATGTTCTAAAATTTGAAACACAGAAAAGAATAATAAGTGTTTTGTTTTTTTTTTACACTAAAATCATGTTAACGTATATTGTTTACATCTTGTGCTACACTTTACAAATTGGTTCCATTCATTTCATTGTAAGGGGCCGTTCACACAAAACGCCTATTTTCCATTATTTTTCATTTTAAACACACGCTAGACGGATATCTTTAACTGTTGCGCTCATGTCTCGCGTCTTTTGCAACGTCTCACACATGACACGGCATTCCTCGTGTTTTTAACAGCAAAATCTGTGTGAACCTCACTGTAAAAGCAGATTTTACTTTTTTTTTTTAAAGAAAAGCAGAGAGAGGTTAATATTATTTTTTGGTAATCAACATTATAGCATAAGTGCTGTTGATTGAGCTGAATTTGCACTGAACCTTCGATATTCCTTTAACCGATTCACAATAAGTAAAGAAAGGTTATCCGTCATATATGAGCTGAAAAAGTATGATACTGACTACAAACAAGGGCGACCTGTTTCTAAGTGTGCCTGGTATCAGTGCAGCCTTCTGCGGTGGATGTGGGTCGAAACTCTCGCATGCCTGAAGCTCACTGTCTTACCTAATATGTACCAACAGCTCGACCTACTGGTGGATAGGGAGCCCTGTCCAATCTCCCTCCGATCCACATTCAGATGCTGACTTCAGCATACAGTAGCTGTAAATATCACAATCGTTGTGAGGTGCACTGTTGCCATGCGCACATACAATCAACATGGTCTTCAGCAGTGCTGGTGATCTTCAGTTGTTTCTGGTTAGATAGGCTGAAGGAGACATTGGTGAGAGAATGTGTGAGAAGAAGACCAGCTGAGCAGTTGGCAGTAATGAGACATGGGCTTTAAGGATGAGAAGGTGAAGTGTCACTAGATTTGAGATGAGTGAGAAGCTACAGGTTGACCAGGTGAAGGTCCGAGGCCGTGAAGTGAGGACACAGTGCCATGTCAGGGTTCTTCAGCTGCTTCAGGATGCGCTTGTAGAACTTGGTGCGCACGCGGTTAAACTCCATGATGTCACAAGGGTCTTCCTCGATCCAGAACCTGTGGAACTCCTGCATCAGATAACCTAAGAAAAACAAATAATACATTTACATATATATATATATATATATATATATATATATAAATAAAATGTATATTCATGTCCCAGTTATACCTACACTTACTGTTTTCAATAATAAGTACGAAGCCCTTAAAGGGACATTTGCAAAAATAAAAATGTACAGACTTTCACGCGCTCAAAAGAAACTATCTCTAAATTTCTTGTGAGCATGTGAAAGTGTGTCAAAGTCCATTCATTAATGTTTATTTAAAAAACATTATATGCGTGTGGTACTTAAGCGTGCACACCTCTGGTCGCAGTTTCGCTTGTCGCCAGAGGGGGCATAGTTCTGCAAAAACTCAGAGACTTGCGCAATGCACCTTTAATGTAAATTTTGCTTTTATATTTTGCTTTTAATATAATGTAATATGGTCAGGAAAAGCAAGAATTGTAGAAACCGTAGAAATACAGTTACTGTAGAAACTTGCAGACAGCTTTTTATAGGGAGAAGAGTCAGTGTTGTTCCACTCAATTTTAATGGTTTCCAGTAGTGTTTTAATTTACATAATAATTAGGGCATTTCATTTTATGTAATTTAATGAATGATAAAAAATATATGAAGAGTTCAGATGCAAAAGCCTCTAAGTGCCATTTGAAATTTTCTTCTAGAATGATCATTTTTATCAAGCTTGTATATTTAAGTTCAGTAATTTCACTTAAATGACAATTAATAGATAAAAAATTATCATTCTATAAGAAAATTTCAAATGGCACTTAGAGGCTTTTGCATCTGAACTCTTCATATATATATGATGTATATGATATATAATTTATATCATGCTAAATATTAAATGTAAACATTTTTATTTGGTTATTTTTACTCATTTACAAATGTTATAATTGAATGGCCATAAATGATGTATATAGTTTAAAATGTATATTTAATTTTACTTCAAGAGTTGTTTTCACAACGAGAACAATGGCAACATTATGATACCACTCACAGAAGGTCTGTTGGAAGTTCACTAGACTTGGCATCTCTGGTGCCACATTGTACAGATGAGTCTTCAGAGCCCCGCTCACCAGCAGGGAATACGCCAGGTCTGTGATGTTTATGCCAACTATGGCAAAGGAGTATCTGCACCACAAAAGATTTGGGTCAGCACAAAACACATTGTAAAAGAAATCCTTGTTTAGTGTAAATACACATTATAAAATGTTAAGACACTGCCAGTGTTTGCCTGTGTGATTACATGTTTCTGTGTGCACATGTCACCGGCACCGTGATTTAACAGCCTCCACGCTACACATCAGAGCTAATGCATCCTGAAACCCTCAAACAAAGCATCAGTGCTGCCACACAAGCAGGGTTCAGGGACTTAACTACTAATAACTACTGCACACACAGCAGAATTATTTTTAACATTCACAGATGTAAAAACTGGTGTTCATGTTAGGCAGCACACAAATGAATGTAGTGAAAATAAAATAGAACAAATATTTTATTAATGGTTAAATAGATTTTCTAAATGTATTTTTAATGTTTTTATTTTGCTAGTTTGTGGATGTTTTCCCAGGTGTGGTTGCAAGGTGTTTTTTTGAGAGCTTTTAGGATGTTGCTGTGCGGTTTTCACTTAGTGGCTTACTGACCCAAATGAAAACACAAAGTACTACGTTTATGTTCTACTACCTTAAATTTGTGTGTAAAAAAGTCTGCAATATTCTGAACTCACCCAATCGCTTTGTCAAATTTGTTCTTGTCCCACTCAGCTTTGCTCATCTTGCTGTGTGAAGAACCATAATGTTAGTGTCCCCTCAATCCTGTGCTAATAGTCTTTAAACAGCTAATATAATGGTCAACAACGACAATTACACATGTGAGACTGGAGAAAAGAGAAAGCATTCACAGCTACTAACCAACATTACATGAAGCATAATGCCTTGTGTTTAGAGTGAAGTGAGGTAAGGCGTTTCGAGATTAAAACAACAACAAAATACAGCCATTAGTACGGAGGCGTATTGCATTCACTTGAAGAAAAAAAATCTACTCTGTTTTTCTGAATTAACGAGTTAATTTTTCATGAGAAAAAAAATTTGCTCTGTTTTTCTGAATTAATGAGTTAATTTTTCATGAAAAAATTTTTTGCTCGGTTTTTCTGAATTAACGAGTTAATTTTTCATGAGAAAAATTTTTTTGCTCTGTTTTTCTGAATTAATGAGTTAATTTTTCATGAGAAAAAAAGTTTTTGCTCTGTCTCTGAATTAATGAGTTAATTTTTGATGAGAAAAAAAATTTGCTCTGTTTTTCTGAATTAACGAGTTAGTTTTTCTTGAGAAAAAAAGTTTTTGCTCTGTTTTTCTAAATTAATGAGTTAATTTTTCACGAGAAAATTTATTTTTGCTGTTTTTCTGAATTAACTCATTAATTCAGAAAAACAGAGCAAAAAAAAAATTCCATTAAAAATTAACTCATTAATTCAGAAAAACAGAACAAAATTTTTTTTCTCATGAAAAATTAACTCATTAATTCAGAAAAACAGAGCAAAAATTTTTTCTCATGAAAAATTAACTCGTTAATTCAGAAAAACAGAGTAGATTTTTTTTCTTCAAGTGAATGCAATACGTCTCCGTACATAAGTATGAGCCAAAATGATCAAATGAATTTCATACAGAGAGAAAAAATGGAGTACCTGGCTTCCTCTTTGGAAAAGTTCCTGCGTATGACAGTGATGTGAATAAAAAAGAAGCAGGAACAGAAAAAAAGGAATGTGTGGGTGCATGATGGTGAAGGAGCATGCTGAAGGTTTGATTGATTACACAGCATGAAAACATCACCTGTTAACAAACACGGTATGCACACACACAGTAAAAAGCAATAGACTGATGAGTGTAAGCCTGAAGAGGCTTCTGGGGAACTAACTGGCAAGATCGTTGTTGTATGTTTGCTCATGTGCATTTAAAGCCCATCAATCATATTTAGGGTGTTTTTTTTGGATATAACAATGTATCATAACGATGTATATTCTGTAAAGTGTACATAGGAACCACTCAAGAGGACTATCTGAGGGATCTGACCTGTGTTTGGGCTGCAAGGAGTCATGGAGAACTTGGAGAGCAGTGGCTTTATCATTCTCTGCAAAATATCTGCAAATAAAAGAGGAAAAATCAGCCATTGAATTGTCCTGTTCGAAAACCCAGTGAGCTACCTATAGACCATTTCACAAGATGTAAACAACACTGGTCCAGAAGCACTTCCTGTTTCAGTTTGTAACTGTTTTCTTTATTTCACATGTAAAGAAAACATCTTAAAGATGTTTGTTTAACTTTTTGATTCAGTTTTAAATGTTCTGTTGGTTGTATTTTATCCCAGCTTTTATGTAGTGTTAAAAAACTGAAACAGGAAGTGCTTCTGGACCAGTGTTGTTTACATCTTGTGAAATGGTCTATATATTGTTCCAAAAGCTAGACAACTTAATTATGCTAAGATATATTGTTTTGAGAAAGTGCTTTGCAACAAGATCAGAGAGAAAAAAAATCTTAAGATAGTAAATGAAATATTGACTATAATGTAAAATTATTTAATTCTATAATACAAAGTAGTGAGAAAAACTAGTTGAGTGTAGTTCAAATAATAGTAATATAATATTTTGAATATATTTTTTAGCTTTGTAATCTGTTAGCATCAAAATCGATTGCTAGCTGATAAAAACTAGTTCAAAAACGTATTTTACTCAATGTGTGTTATGCATTTATTGTTTATTAGAGTACTATATCGTCTTGTAGCAACATGTTGATGTCAAAATGTATTGCAAACTGCTAAAAACTAGTCTCATTCAAGAACTTATTTTACTCAATGTATGTTATGTATTCAATGCTTATTTGAGTATTGTGATGTTAGCTTAGCAACATGCTAATGTCAAAATCAGTCCAGTGTCATTCAAAAATGTATTTTAGTCAATATATGTTATGTATTTAATGCTTATTTGAGTGCTGTGTTGTTAGCTTAGCAACATGCTAACGTCAAAATTAGTCCAGTGTCATTCAAAAGCATATTTTACTCAATGTATGTTATGTATTTAATGTTTATTAGAGGATTGTGTTAGCTTAGCTACGCTAATGGCAAAATCTATTGCTATTTTAGTTGTGAATGCCTATGCAGAGCATTCCAAATTGGTCTTTTATGAGGTTACATGATGTTGCTTTAAAACGTAGCTGTCTATTTAGTTAGTAGACAGCAAGACTCACTATGTTTTTGGAACAGGGTTAATATCTGGTATGATCTAAAAAAATACATTTCACTTAAGCACATTTGTTTAAAGTAGAAGATCTAATGTTTGTGCTGATTTCACCTCAGCAGATTCTACCAGGCTACTCACAGTAGGTTGTGCAAGCCCAAGAGACCCATGCCCCTGAAATCAGTCTTGGGGTCGTTTCCTTGGAAACCAATCTCGCACCATTGCTTGGAGATGCGTCCAGAGAGAGGAGAATCAGGACGGAGTTCCTTCCACAGCTGGTGAGAAAAATATGTTTGAGAAAAGTGTCATTTAAAGACTATTACATTGTAGATGTTAAATTTGTAGCTATTGAAGTTCTGTTCCATTCTGAATTATAATTGCCTATAACAAAAAGACTGGCAACCACTAATACCTTCATGAGCATCTCCTCATGTGCTGGATTTTCACAGTCGTACGGCTCTCTACGTAGCTTCTCCACCTCCACTACTAGGTTTCTGTAACCCGCGATCTGGAGGAGGCAAGCCTGGAGAGAGATGCCAAGCCTGGAAGAAGTCAAGAAATACAGAATATGTGTTCAAAAGGTAAGAAGTAGATGATGATGAATACTCTATCAGCAAATGACGGGGTCCGTACTGTGGGTTAGTGTCGAGGTTGATCTTTTTCAGGGCCATAATATCATCGATAGTTTTCTCCACAGAGTCTGGGTGAACGCTGATGGCAGACTGCAAAAGCTATGGAGGTAGAGTAATTAAAAGGAAGATTATTCAGTTATTAGCTAATACACAAAAAATTGCATAATATGTTAAAATTATGCAGCTTTGTAGTTTGAGACGGGCTTATAAACAGTGATGATATTGTTAACTAAACGAAGTAATACAATAATTTACGTTAATTGAAATAAAACTGAAATAGATATAAATAATAGATGAAAAATTAAATGAAAATTTTAAATTTTGATTAATAAAAAATAAATTAATGCTAAACAGAACTGAAATGTTCAACTGAAAACTGAAACTGAAAATATCAAAATAAATAAAAAATATTGATAAATAAAATATTATTATATTACATAAAATTACAAAATACCTTCCATTTTATAATATTATTAAAAGTTGCAATAAAATAGATTCAATATTTAAAATATTTGTACTTCATAAACCAACAACATCATGTTTACTCACCTCATGTTTAGAACATTTGAGTGAGGATTCTGTGAAATGAAAGGAAACATAAAATAATATAAAAAATGTCCCCACATACATCCAGGATGGCCAATATACAGAACGATATAGTGTATTTTACTGCAGATGTACCGCTAAATAGTATTTAGTACTGTAAGCATTTACCAATCTTGAGCGTCCTTCGAGCACCAGGTTTGTTATTGTAACAGATGCGTTGAAGCTCGCATCGTCCCGTCACCTTCCTGATGACAAACTTCAGGCCCCGCCACAGACACTTACAGTAAAGGAACACCAGCAACTGGGTCAGTACCCTAGAAGATTCGAAGAAATAAAGAGGCCTGAATAAAGCAACTCAAGTCCAGAACTGATAGGCCTAATACACTTGCGTATTCTGTCCCAGAATCAAGCGTACTCACTGGGGTATTTTGAAAGCTCATTATATTTGAGTTCAATAAATCTGAACTGCATAACCTTCAGATGTGTGTTTCCAATGAACACTCCTCGAGCTATTCAAAGAGAAATGCTCATTATTTTTCTATTGTCTACAAAAGCTAGGCCTAATTCCCTTTATAAAAAGCATATCTGTGTTTTGAGAGAGAGATTTGGGCCATGATGATGAAATGGGTCACAGTTCTGCAAAGATGTGCGCGATGAAAGTGAAATATAATAGTGAAAGTAAAATTCTTTAAACAGGTTTCGTGTCCTGCAGGTATCAAGCATGTATTCACCTAAGGATTTCATGACACGTCTAACTGCTATATGCATCTGTTTTTGAATCAATGCATGGTTGAATTCATCCATCCGTATTATATACTAATCTAATTGCGGTCTATTTCACTACAGAAAAACATACTGTACTAGGAATAAACCTGTTTGAGTCCGGTTGCTGAGAGTTACTGCTCACAGGATAGACTCGACTCCCCATCGGCATGCAATGAATTTGTAGTCAAACCTGCGTTTTGTAAAAAAGGTGTTATTGTGAAAACTGTTGAACAAGAGTGACGTGCCTTGAAGGTAATAAGCGCTAGTCTGGTCTCTACCTCTAAAGGTCTAGGCGAAATACAAAACTAAATTCACTGGGAGCAACCTGGGTTTAATGCCTTTCAACATCATTTATTGTAAACAATATAATTAAGAGAGGTGGGTGATAAGAAAGCACTTAAAACTGAAAGCCAGAGGACAACTTATTCAAATTAAAAGGTAATTAAAATGTATTTATCAGTCATTTACATTTTAAGAACAATTGAACAAAGAATGTTAGTATGAAAAGGCCTCTGACTGGTGTGTGTGTGTGTGTGGGGGGGGGGATATTTGATCTTTATGATATTATTTATGTGGAAATATATCATATTTGTTTCCACATCTATGACATAATTGGACAATAATGCATGCAATATAAATTTATTATTATAATCTGATAAGATTCGGTTATAGTTTAATTTCTATTTTTGTTTCCACATCCATGACATAATTGGGGCATACAACTATGCATACAATATGAAACCTAACGGTGAATTTAATCATGTGATTTTTTTAAAAATGGAAAATGAAAGCAATTACATTTCAGCTTCAAAGCAATAATAGGCTACGCGTGTCTCTATTAGCAGTAAGACAGTGGCTACTTACCTTAGAAAATGCTTCATCGTGATTGTCTGCTTTGGTACTGTATAATTCACATTCGCGAATGGTCTGACCACCTGCACAAAACACAATTCTAAATAAATACTTCAATGTATCGTTCTTTAATTATTGTATTGCATTAAACGTGGATACAAATCGCAATAATGTCATAAGGACGTCAGTGTGGCGTTAGGCGGATTACGTTGCCGTGGGTAACTGCTCCTGCAACCAGCAACCAACATACGATCTAAAAATCAACTTTCATATTATGTCTGATGCGTTATTTCATTATAAATGAGACGTTTATAATAATGTAAAATATCACAGGTTATATAACACCAAATGGACTCATTTACCGTCGAGCCTAGCTCTTTAATTTTGCATTAGGTGTTATTCTGCTCTCTATTCTACACCACACATAGGTCGTGTGTGGAAACTGAGTATCAAATAATAGATCGGAGTATCTGATAAAATATAAATAAATGGCAGAAACATACGTTTCAAGATGTCGCTGTGAATGGGAATATGCCTGTCCTCCTCTCTCTGCAAGGCAGATACCTGTTATTCCTCCATGATGAGCATGTGAATGAGGGTGGGCGGGCGCTTCAGAGCATCGCAATGCAGCGAACACAGCAGACCCTGCTGTCACTCGAACTCTTCAATACTTAGTTGAAAGTATTATAGATTTAACTGTTTCTCTATCATTTAGAATTGAATAGTATGATCTTGCTCTTCTAGAAGCAGGAGTACATTCCTCAGTAAACTTTGAATTAGCATTTTATTCTAACATCTTGAAACTTCTGGAATCACAAAGTCTATTTGATGTGATTTTTACATCTGGAAGACGTATTTTTAAGAGTGTTTTCTCATCTGCAATACGTATATGTGTACGTTTCCTGTCAGATGTTTAAGATGTCAGTTTAACATGCATTCTAAATCATTACATCTTAAAGGAATTTTCTAAAAGTCTATTTGACATCTGACAGGAAACATATTCAACTTACTAGATTTATTATTAATATTGAACATGTGACGTATTGCAGATGAGCAAACACTCTTAAAAATACATCTTCCAGATGTAAAAATCACATCAAATAGACTTGTGCTATCTGGGAAATTCATTTAATGTAGGATACCCTGTTTCTGTTAATTAAAAATATTATAAACAAGCAGCTTTTTCATAATTCCAGTAGAAATACCATTAACTACCAACAATATAGCCGTCTGCTTTCATATAGGGGGGCCTTTAAATATTCAGACCAGACAAAAAAAAAAAAAAAGTTGAGAACCACTGTTAAAGCAGGACCACCAATAAAACTTGGTATAGTTTTTTTTTTTTTTTTTTTTTTGTAAAAATTGAATTAAAAATGAAAAATAAATCTATAAAGCATTTCATTAATTTAATTTCAACATTTACTTACAAAAAACCCCCCGTTCTTTATTGAATGGACCTGAGCTAACAAGAACCAACAATGAACGGTTATTTTTTTTTATTTACTAACATTAGAAAAGATAAATAGCCTACTGTAACAAAGTGCTAATTAATGTTAATGCATTGACTAACAATAACTAATAAGACTTTATTGTAAAGTGTTAACTTTTTATTTATTTTTACTGTATATTCATTTAATTTTATAAATATTACTAAAATTCAAAGGCAGTCCCTGGGTTGGCTGAGAGTCTGGGGAATCATCCAGGAGTCCAAAAACGTTGTAATGTAAAGCCAACTTCGCATATTTGACAAACACCACTATATTACTGATTAACTATGAAACATCAAACCACTTTAATCGTCATAAATAATAACTCCAAATATGCATATGATACATAAAATATAAACATACATAAGCACGTGCAATACTAATAATAAATCTAACAAGTTGAATATAAAAAAGTTATTTTTCAATACAGTTTCATAGCTTTTCATAATTTTCTAATGCAAGAAAAAAAAAGTATTAAATCAAAAATACAAAGATAAAGAATGTTAATACAAGTAATAATACTAGAAGTTAGTACTGTTCAAATCATAGTGCATTACTTTCTAAAATATTTTTTTCTTGTTTGAATGCACCATCTGAACTTCAATCTCAGAAGATTTAAATAACATGCAAATTGGGGTGTATAAAAATACAGTCTGAAGGCACACCTTAGTGGACTTAAAATCCATAAAAAACTAATTAAACACTGCCTTTGGCAAAAAATATAAACTCTATCCATTACTGTACATTGTAGAGCTTTATGTCAGGGAATAGTGCCCATTGCAATGTGCTTTGTGATTGGTCCCTGTTCTATCCAGATCATGCCCTTCCTTCTGCAGCTGATCTACGGCTCCCTCTTGTTGGACATCAGCAGATGAAGCAAGGTGATACACCTCATCATTAGTGGAAAACGACTGACCGCGAGTGTAGGTCGGTACGACGTTGAACATGGTAAAACCAAGTGTGATCACCACAAAAGACACGATATACAGACCTGTGAACTGTGAAGAAGAAAAAAAATATTTAAGTGATCAAGCAAACTCTAGAAGCTAAAACTGTATAAGCAGAAATATCGAGAATTGGTGCAAACACAGCACCCATGGCCATTATCATTTCAGCATGAGGACTGAGACGAAGATATTGGAAAATATTTTAATCTTTTTGGCTCTTTTATTGAACATTTTCTGAAAATGTGTTCTTTCTACTCACCTTGTAGTGAAAAAGGAAAATACCACAGAAGAGGCTGAAGAGGTCAGCAGTCAGCAGCGAGAGGTTTACAGCAGTGGCGCTGGTCATCTTCACTACGACAGGCATGAAACTGTACAGCCCATACATGCACAGAGTATACGCAACAAAGAGCAGGCCTACAAAACACAAATATTCAGTTATCTAATGACAATATTATCTTCAAGTCAATGACAATTAAAAAAAAGGTACGATTTTACACTTAGTTACGCACTTATTCTCCAGTTCCAGCTGGTGACAGGTATAGCTTTGGATTCAAGTATAGCCCTTTAAAACAAAAAGCACAGTTCACCTAAAAAGAACTAGGGCTAAAGATTTACAGTATTGTTTAAAAGTTTGGAGTCAGTAAGATTTTTAATGTTTTTAAGAAAAATAATTTAAAATAACACTAATATACTCTAAAATGTAACATTTGGTCTTCATCGGCTGTGTGCAAATAACATCTTTGCCTGGAAAAGTTTGGTTTGAGTTCTAGACATGTGAGAAAACGCCATTTTCAGTGCTGTATATCCAATGATGAGGACTAGCACTGGAATTGTTACCGGAAAACAACGCCATCGTTCATATCATGCTATATCAAAGCCTCCAGAGCTGAATTTCAAATATGGTAATAGGCGTTTTGTTTCAGACACTTGCTGTAAGCAGTAGACCAATCACAACAGACTAAGCCATCAGACCAATCAAAGCAGAGTAGGCTCTCAGAAAGAAGTCTTTCAGTGAGATGAGGTGATGTACATTATGATTTATTTTTACTTTTTTTACTTAGTGTGCATGTAAATTTGACCTTGAATGCTCAACTTAATGATTAAATTAAAATTTGAGATATAAATCTTTTACAACATTATAAAAATGTCCTTCTGTCAATCATACCGACCCCCAAACTTTAGCACGGTAGTGTACATATCGCTTCTCTTCTTCAAAAGCGAGCATGATGCGGACATTCACTTTAAAAATGAGGTGAAGAACAAAACTTACATTTGCACACCGCTGATGAGGGTCCCAAAGAGCCCCATCATGCCCAAGAACTCCACCCTGCTCAGGTTTTTCACTGTGTATTCCTGACAGACGTTAGACACTGCATACAGAGCAGCACTGATCAACACAAGCCCATCCCCCAACAACACATGACTACCTGCAGTGAAAGAGAGACAGAAATTAACTATTTTGGAGCACAATTTCAAGCAACAGACAAACTACAGTCTGATAAATTATTCATGCATCTTCTAAACTCAGTTGTCCTTATTTCATATAATCTTATCTTAATAACAGATATGAAATGTCCTCATTATAGTATAAAGTACAGTACTTACTTGAGCCTTGGTCTCTCCCCGCCAGCAGATCTGCTCCCACCATCGCCCCGACCCCAAACAAGCACACGGCCACAGCTACAAAATGCAATGGTCTGTAGCGAGTCTTCAAGAAGATCCACGAGAGCACCATCAAAACCGGGATAACAAAACAGTCCAGCAGCTGCAACACATAACAGGTATTATATTATATTTAACACGAACACTCCAAAGTGTGTGCGTGTGTACGAAGAATGTATTCTTACCTGTATACTTGTAAGCGTAGTGAACTGGTATGCCTTTACAACAGTGTAGTTGGCTTGCACATCCGTAAAAGCCATCAGAAAATACTTCCACCACTTTGTTTTTAAAATTTGAACAATATTACTTTCACCTAAATTATGGGGGCAAAAAGTATTAATCCAAGCTGTGAACAAAACTACATGAGGTTTTATTAGTACATTTTAACTTTGGATGTTGACAACACTCAATTTAATTTAGCGATTGTACTCTCTCCACCATGTTTAAAGTTTATGGCCTGCCCCACTCGGGAACTTCTGTATAAAAATTATCCCCAAGCTTCCCAGTGGTAAATAGGACTTGAGATGGTGTTCATGTCCAATTTTTAACTAGGAAACCTGTATTTATGATAATTTTGATAGCATCATGTGAAGGCAGCATTAATCCACACGATTGGCCATACAGGCATGAATCCTTAAATAAGTTTTATTTAAAATCTGGAGCAATGCTATGATAAGTATGGTCATGGCAACATTATTCTAAACATCTTATAAAATCAGTGAGTGAGTGATTCCATGCAGGGAAGGTGTGCTGCAGCGTACCTCTCCTGAAGGCTAAGGCTAAAGTATAGGTGAGCAGCAGCAAGGTGTAATTGAGAAAGCTTTGCAGCATTGGCGTCTCTACCCCATCATCTGCCAGATACTGACATGTAACTGCCGTCCCACATATCAGCATGGACAGGGCCTGACCCATTACAATAGTTTTGAAGAGCTGCCTGTAAACACAATTCTCAAGTTACTATGAAAGAATTGCCATGAATATGCAGATAACTGACACTTAAAAACATTTTCGAACCATAAAATAGAAATCATACCATGTAAAAACAACTTTGAGCGTGAGATTCCGAGGACCACAAAGGAATTTCCTCCAGCGGCTGAGAGTTCCCACGCTTCCATACGTAAACGAGTTCTCTCCTGCCTCACGATCCATATTTTACATATAGAGACCTAGAAAATTCAGAGAAAGTGTATGAAGAATATCATGTTGGAAAGGTCACGCTGGATGTAGGCAAAAGTACCACCCCATTGTTTTAAGAATCCAGGATACGCACACAAAAAGACCAGTTTAAACAATAAACTGACACAAAGACAATGTCATTCAACAAAATTTGAACCTCCTTCTCCATGCTTGTAAACAATGGGGCGGTACTTCAGCCTACGTCCAGCGTGACTACGCAATGCCTAGCGGCACAAGACTAAGAACTGTGGTTGAAGTACATACATTTATTTTCTTTTTTAGAAAAAGACCGATCGTTTCACTAGATAATACGTATTCCTCAGCTGGGATCGTGCAGAGCCCTTTGAAGCTCTTCAAAGCCCTTTGAAACTGCATTGACTTGGACCTCAAAAATGTGGTTACTGTTGAAGTTCATTGTTTGGCGAAAAATCCTGAAATGTCTTTTCCACTGAAGAAAGACAGACATGAACATCTTCGATGGCATTGGGGTGAGAAAATTATCAGGACTTATTAATTTTGAGGTGAACTAATCCTTTAATGCAAGTCACATGATGTTGGGTAACATCTACTTATTAGTTGAGGAAATAATCTTAATCTCTTCAGGAATGTATACCCAATAATGCTTACCTCAAGTAGGCCTCTTTAATAAAAATAAGCTTTCCTTGTTTAACTTACAGGTGATAAACCAAAATTAAAAGGTAATTAGCCTTTTTAATACTCACCAACTTTAAGTATAGTAATTAAATGAAAGTGTACAATGTACTATAAAACCTACACTAGATCAAGATATATAACAGCCTCTTAACAATATATATATATATATATATATATATATATATATATATATATAAAATTGAAAATACTAAAGATTAACATAGCAATTACAATTTACTTTTAATTAATTCTACATAAAGACCTAATAAAAACATTGGCATAAGCCGAAAAAATAATAATAAAATGGGTTAAAGTTTGAATGAATTGCTATGTTGTTTATAGACTAGCGCTTTGGACACACATGTGGAACGTCTGAAGCTGTGATGGTTGTAATGCGGCTCTCCTCAGAGCACGTGGCGACCTGTCAGGCACTTTAGACAAATTTTGAATAGCCTAAACTATTTTTGACCACCGATATCAAAATAGGGTGAACTCATTCATTAAAAAAATAAATTCGTTTGCGTTTTAGTATTTCTAGAAGCTTTGTAGCTCGATAGCTCAAAGCAAACTACGCTACAAAAATATGCTACGCTACAAAACACAACGGCACGTGTTTACAAGTAAAAGAATATAACCAAGGGTCTGTTAAGTACCTGAATATAACTGATCCATCATGTCCGTAGTTTACGAATCAGATAAAATACAACCACAGAATCATCTTTCCATGAAAGCGAGAAACCATAAATGCGCAACTTAAGGCCCCGCCCATTTCCCAAACAGCCAATTGGAGCTGATTGTACGTCCTCTTTATTAAATTGTGACCAATGGCAGCACACACGGAAGTTGTGTGCAATGAATGAACACGAATGAACGCTTAACGGGTATCAAATCGATCAGAAATGTACTTAAGTTATTTGAAAGATTAATAGTTTGGAAACGCCATGTTTAAGTGAGCCGTTACATTTATTTCTATCAATGATTAATGAGAATTGTGATTTCAAAACGAGTCTATATCTGCAACTACAAACTGCAGCAGCTGGTCGGCCTTCAGATTGTTATGGGAAAGAAGAACTCATCTTGTCCTTCAATCAGGCATGCCGACTCCAGTCCAGATTATCACCAAGGACAGGGCAATTCGTTTGACCCTGCTAACGTTAGATTGCGTGTCAATATTCCTTGTTTATTAAATATTTTTTCTCACTGGCACTACTTTAATGGCAGGATGATAAAAACAATCGCGTAATCCTATAACAAAAAATAATCAAGTCACACACACACACATAATAAACAACACTGCAGACAGTGCTGCTGATGCAGTCTGTCGCAATTCTCCCTAGCAACCAAACCTTCTCAAACATCGCGAGATTACACGAGGTTCAAGTTGAAGAAACATGGCGACGTCTAATTTATTGAAGGTAGGAGGTCCCACAATGTGAGATTATTTTGCATCGTTTGCGTCTCCCAGAGTGTTATGACAGTGATCCTATGAGCCGGTGACTGTGCGCTTCTAATTAGATCGCTAAACATGACGCGTTCATTTCAAACTACATTGTTCGAGTTGTTCATTGCAGCTAGTGAGGTTTTGAGCTAATATAATGTTTAGGGTTTCAGAGCTCTATTCAACTATGTCTCTCTTCACTGCACAGTTTACAGTAATAAATAAAACTACCTGCTATCATGGGACTGCATTGTGCTTTGTGTGGATCACGAGAATGATATATATATATATATATATATATATATATATATATATATATATATATATTCTTGATTAAAATTACAAACCAAAACTAATTAATTCAGCCTGTGCATATTTGGTTTATGTCAAGCTTGAAGCTCACCTGGTGCCTCTGGTCTCTAATGATAAAGCTGTAATAATCCATCAACATTTATTATAGTGCATGATAAAGCTGTAATAATCTATCTACGGATATTATATTGCACTGTACTTCTGTTAGTGTTATACAATTTTGCTATAATGTAAACTTAATTAAATGTAATGTTTTTTTTAAATGCATAAAACTCCTAACATATTTTTGAAGAACTGTTTATCTCCTTTCTTAGAATAAAGGCTCCCTGCAGTTTGAAGACAAATGGGATTTGATGCGGCCCATTGTTTTGAAGTTACTACGTCAGGAGTCAGTTACTAAGCAGCAGTGGTTCGATTTGTTCTCGTAAGTTGTCTTCGATGTGACATAGTCTGTACTGACTGAAATATCAAGTCAGTGTACTGTACATCCAGACTTTTATTTATTTAACTAATGGTGCTGTTTGGGTCTGATTTTCACCTTAATAATATCAACTAGCACTAACAACATACAGTAGGTTAAATTGTTGCACAATGAGTAGAATCTGATCTTAGATCATCTCTTGATACTGTTTTTGGTTTGCAGAGACGTCCATGCAGTGTGTTTATGGGACGACAAAGGCCCGGCAAAAATTCACCAGGCACTGAAAGAAGACATCCTAGATTTCATCAAGCAAGCACAGGCAGTACGTACTGTACCACTTTTGCACCTACTATAATAAAGTGAAGACTGTAATCAATGCATGCTGAGTCTCTTTCTGATCTGCTTCAGCGAGTACTCAGTCACCAGGATGACACAGCTTTGCTTAAAGCCTACATTGTGGAGTGGAGGAAGTTCTTTACACAGTGTGATATTCTACCTAAACCCTTCTGCAAGCTAGAGATCACCCTGCTGGGTAACCAGGGGAGCAATAAGAAGTCCAGTGTCGAAGACAGTATTGTTAGAAAGGTGGTTTCTATATTATCAATCTATATTATCACTTAAATGCAGTTGTTATTATTGTAACAATACATGCTCAACATTAACATTTTCTTGCTAAAGCTTATGCTAGACACATGGAACGAGTCTATATTCTGTAATATAAAGAACCGGCTCCAGGACAGTGCCATGAAACTGGTCCATGCTGAGAGATTAGGAGAAGCGTTCGACTCGCAGCTTGTCATCGGAGTGCGCGAGTCATATGGTAAAGCTATCATAATGCTAAGCCACTCAGGTTCTGTCTAGATGGACCTCTTCTAATGGACACTCTTGTCTTTTGCTCTGTCTCACAGTGAATTTGTGTTCCAACACTGATGACAAGCTCCAGATCTATAGAGAGAATTTTGAGAAGGCATATCTGGATTCCACAGAGAGGTTCTACAAGACACAAGCACCCTCCTATCTGCAACAGAACGGCGTTCAGAACTATATGAAATATGTGAGTGTATTTTAAAACTGCTCTAAACTTGAAAAATCTGAATGACACTAGTGTTGTCAAAAATAACATATCGATTCTGAATATTTGAAATGGTTTTATTCATTTATATAGTCAGTTGTGCCATTTTCAGGGTGTGTTCTCACTACCTGAGATTATTATTATATAATCACCTTCAGAGCAACTGGATATTTTGATTTTGAGTTTCAGTTGATAATGTACTTTTGACCATAGTCAAAATATTTTTCTTACCTGTTCAGGTTTTATACCCTTAATGTTGTTGCAGTTTTTTCCTGTATTATCAAAAATTGTATCGAATATCGATATTTTAAGTTCCAGCAACTCTAGTTGACACTACAGCTTTCTACTCTGGTGGTTTGTTTAACAAGCATTTATGTGTATGAACGGTAAATCACAGCACATTTCTGAATTATGATAATGATGTGTCACAATATCTGAGAGTTGTTTATCCCTGGTGACGCTTTTGATTGACAGGCAGATGGCAAGTTAAGAGAAGAGGAGAAGCGTGCACTTCGATATCTGGAAACCAGACGTGAATGTAACTCCGTCCAGGCAGTGAGTGTTGCGTGCTCCAAAAATGCTCCAAAACAAGACCCCGTGGTGTGCCGCATTATTAAATAATGCTCAGCGTGTAGTGCGCACTTGTCTTTTTCGCATACTAACATCGGGTGCTCAGTTTGTGCCTTTTGCGTTCATTCAGCTAATGGAGTGTTGTGTGAATGCGCTGGTGACGTCGTTCAAAGAGACAATCCTGGCCGAATGTCCGGGAATGATCAAGCGGAACGAGACAGAGAGTGAGTACGGCAGGAGCTCTGGCACCAAAGGCTCAGCAAGTTCAGGTTGGCAATGGGACCCCGTTCCCATCTATATCTTGCCAACACCTCCCCATCCATCTCACCATCTGTGTGTTTGTGTGCTAAACACTAAGTTCACCAACCCATTTACACTGTAAACAAACACAACAGCATACAACTGAAGGAAATCCCACATTTGTGTAGATTGCATCAGGAACACTTGGTTTAACTCATGTGCATTTTGGCTTTAGAGCTCCATAGACAGGAACTTCATGTTTTTTTTTACTGTGTTAATATGTTTTAATGTAATTGAAGTGTTTGTTCTGCTGTTGGTGTGTTTCCACAGAGCTGCACCTTATGTTTTCGCTGATGGACAAAGTGCCCAATGGGATTGAGCCTATGCTGAAAGACCTGGAGGATCATATCTTGAATGCAGGTCTGGCTGATATGGTGGCCACAGCGGAGACCATTACTCAGTGAGTAGAGACAGTAGAGTCCAGTTCCTGTAAGGCAATCACTGAATGATCTAGGAATAGGAATTCATTCATTTTTATTAATCCTTGTTTGTAAATTTGTATGATTTATTTTTGCGCATATGCTTTGGGATGTGTGGGACTAGTCTACTAAACGAAATCGCTGCTGCTAGTGGACATTAATACTAGTTCTGGAGTGTGAGCTTCCGGTTGTATAACAGCAAATTTTGATATAAACATTTTGGGTGAACTACTCAATGTAGAATTATAATAATGCAAGGCAAGCACAACGTATGTATATGATCTATTTTTCTGTGAATTCAGAATGGGATTTGACTGTTTGATTTATAGATTAAGTAGGCTTTTTTAAATGGATCGCTGATACAAACTGTTTTTGACTGTGATCTGGGGTTTCTTCGACTGGTTGGTCATAAAATTTCAGTTTAAACATTATGGAAATTAATCGTGGCACACATCCCTAAAATCCATAATATGGTTCCAAACTGTTTCTCAAAATTCTTAATTATTGCTCTTTATGACTTATTGATGTTTTATTTTTGCAGGACTCTGAAAATATGTCGAGCACTCCTAACATTGTTTAACCGCTTTAGTAAATAGTTAAGGATGCATTCCAAGATGACCCACGTTTCCTAACAGCCAGGGATAAAGTAAGTCTCAATAAATCCAAACCATTCACTGTTAAAGACTTCACTGAAATGATATTTATTAATGTTATTTTATTAGACAAAATAATAATATATATATATTCATGTAATCTATAAGATATAATACAATACTAAGGTGGGGTCAGTGAGATTTTTTTTTTTTAAAAGTATTTTATTATTCACCAAGGATGCATTTTTAAATTTCTATTTTAAATAAATATTGTTCTTGTTTTTCTTTTCATTCATCAAAGAATCCTGAACAAAAAGTGTATCAAGGTTTACCCTAAAATATTTGGCAGCTCAACTCTTTTCATCATTGATAGTAATAAGAAAATATTTCTTGAGCACCAAATCAGCAATATTATAATAATTTATGAAGGATCATATTATGACACTGAAGCCTGAATTAATAATGCTGAAAAATTAAAAAAAATACAAATCTGCTTATCCTGCAAGACCATATTCTACGTCCCTTAATCCTACCCAATACTTACTAACAACTACTTTTAATATAATACGCAGTAATTTTGGAGTACTAAAAGTCCTAGTTAATAGTTAGTTAATAGTGAGAATTGGACCCTAAAGTGTGACCAAAAAATCTTACTCACCCAAATAGTGTATTTTTTTTTTTTACATTGTTGAAAAGTGAAGAGGAGAGGAGGTGATTTCCTTTTTTCATTTTATTTATTACCATATTATATACTTGCATGTTTACGCAGGCATAC